TATATATATATATATATATATATATATATATATATATATATATATATATATATATATATATATATATATATATATATATATATATATATATATATATATATATATATATATATATATATATATATATATATATATATATATATATATATATATATATATATATATTATTCTTTTGATTAGCATTTTTTGGGTTGTGCAGTTTAATTCACAGAATTTCTACAAAGTATATATATAAATAAATATTCTTGTCCTGTTCAGGTGAACACAGAGCGCTTTGAATCTGAGTCTCGAGGAATAAACCATGTGGAAGGAGGATGGCCGAAAGATCTCAATCCAGATGACATGGAGGCCACCATCCGCTACAGGAAGAAAGTGGAGAAGGATGAACACTATCAGAACACCATTATGCAGATTGCTGGTGTGAGTGGCCGCTAAACTTATAACCTTTAGTATTAACCCAATTTAAACCCTTTAATATTAACCCAAGATATTTTGAAGAATGTTAGACACTGTAATCATTGACTTCCACAGTATTTGTTTCTCCTACTATAGAAGTCAATGGTTACCCGTTTCTAATATACCATTCTCTCTGTAAAGTCTTCAACCAACTAGGCCTAGCAGTAGCAGTTAAGCTGCAGAGAAAGCCACAAGATGGCTATGGATAAAAAGGGCTGATCCTTGGGTGATGGCTACTGGGACTCAAGCTGGGGTCTGATTAACCTCAGCTGGGTCACCTGGGTGAGGGTGTCTGATGTTGAAAGACCCGAATCACCCAGTAACCCCAGAATACATCACTGACAATGTGTCCCAGTGCATCTAGTTGATGTTTCTTGCACACTGTTTTGTTTTCAGCAGAAAAAAGGAAACTCACAGTTTGGAACGACTTGAATAAATAGTGTGTAAATGTATAATTTTGGGGGAACTATCCTATTAAATCTTCATATTTCTATCCTTCAAACCAATTTTCTATTAAGTTTTATTTATTATGTATGTTATTTAAACATAAATATATCAATTATCCTGAATAACAAACATTATTTCACTCATATTTTCACATTTTATTTTTTGATACTTTAAAGCAGATACTGGCTTTTAATCTGTTGTCTATATATATAATAAAATCCCTTATGGAAATGCAAAACTGGACGTCTCATCTCTAATGACATGCTGGGCTTAGCTTGAACCCTATGTTGTGATTTTATTCCATTATAATAATGGTTTTGACGTCTTCTTGTAGCTCATGGAACACTGCATTAGGCAAAACAACGCCACTGACATCTATGAGGACTTTCTGGAGGATGAGGATGAAGAAGATGTGGAGGAGTCAGAGGAACAGCCATCAGCAAAGACAATCAATGTCTTCAGGTGAGCACAAAATTATATCAACCCAGTTTTGTGAATGAATAAGACAGGGTTTTTCCTGCATAAGGAGATCATGAGAGGGCCACCTCTGCTAATTTTGTACCACCTTTAAAAGTTTTACCTTCACATAAAAACTTTTTAAAATTAGGCAGACAGTCATGGCTCACAGACCCAAGAGATGCTCAAGCACTGCTTATGGATATAATAACATTTAAGATTTGCCTTTTAAAATAAGATAATAGTTTACTTGATAAGACTACAAGAATAATATTGCAAAATGTATTTAAAATGTTATGATCGGGATAACACCTCCACCTCATCCTGAGCCAGGATAAACTCTGAATAAGACATTATCATTTTGTGTCAATTGAAAACAAATATGTGTATTTAGAGTGCTTTTGTGAACATGTTTTATTATTTTGTCTATGTTTATACATTACCACCATTCTATTACAGAGATTATTAGAAAAATAATGATTATTTGAAAAACGAAAAAGAGGAGGGAAAAATTTTACTAATGATCTAATGCTGATGAAAGTGTATAAGGTTTTGGCTTTTTTTTTCTGTGCATCACTACATGATCACATTAGCATATTTATCCATATAAAGACCCACGAATGGTAGACCCACAACTTTAATTTCAGAAGTTAAATACTGTGGAGAATGTAAACATGACGTTTAAACATGCAATTATGACAAATTACTTTGTTCCAAAACTTGCCATTTCTTCTTGTTCGTGTTTAAACACCAAATCAGCACATTAGAATGATTTCTGCAGGATCATGTGACACTAATGGCTTCTCAAAATGATGACAATTATGGCTGATGAATAAACATTGAACTATGCTTCTGACCTTAAACCATTGGTTGCCAATACAAATTAGAATGGACTTGGGCGTAGTATTGAAATCGAATTTAAACCAAAAAGACTACAATCATTTTTATTTCATTATTTAAATAAATAGAGCCATTTATGAAGTATGCTTAGAGAATCATTTTCTTTATTTTTATTTCTTTATTTTTGTATATATGTGTTTCTTTTTTAAATGATGTAATTGCTTTTTAAAGAGTTCAAAAAAGTCAAAGTCTTTCTTTCTTTCTTTCTTTCTTTTTTCTTTCTTTCTTTCTAAACTACTTTTTAATAAATAGAGCCATTTATACAGTATTTATTGCTTTAAGAATAATTTTCTTTATTTCTATTTATTTATTTTATTATTTTTGTATTTACATGTTCCTTTTTTAAGTGATGTAATTGCTTTTTAACTTTGTACAGTGTTTGTACTATTGTAATTACAGAGTTAAAGTCTTTCTTTCTTAAACTCATTGAAATAAATAAAGCTATTTATAAAGTATTTATTGATTAGAGAATATTTTCTTTCTTTCTTTCTTTCTTTCTTTCTTTCTTTCTTTCTTTCTTTCTTTCTTTCTTTCTTTCTTTCTTTCTTTCTTTCTTTCTTTCTTACTACTTTTAAATAAATAGAGCCATTTACACAGTATTTATTGCTTTAAGAATAATTTTCTTTATTTTTCTATATTTTTTAAATTATTTTTCAATTTACTTGTTTCTTTTTTTAAGTGATGTTATTGCTTTTTAACTTGGTACAGTGTTTGTATTGTTGAAATTAAAGAGTTACAGTCCTTTCTTTCTTTCTTTCTTTCTTTCTTTCTTTCTTTCTTTCTTTCTTTCTTTCTTTCTTTCTTTCTTTCTTAAACTCATTTAAATAAATAAAGCCATTTATAAAGTATTTATTGCTTAGAGAATAATTTTCTTTATTTTATTATTTGTTTATTTTTTATTCATTAAAGAGTTAAAAGTCAAAGACTTTTTTCTTTCTTACTTAGATTAAAATAAATAGTGGTATTTATTAAGTATTTATTGCTTTGATAATCTTTTTTTTTTTTCTAGAGACCCAAATGAAGTGAAGCGGACAGCCACAAGTCTGTCCTGGCACCCTGATGGCAACCATAAATTGGCAGTGGCCTACTCTTCCCTGGAGTTCCAGAGAGCACCCAATGACATGAACTTCGACTCCTACATATGGGACATTGGTATATCATTAAAAACAAAAACACTTCTTTTAATGAAACAAATGCTCGGTTAGGGTACCAATGAGCTTTTTTTTTACTTTCAGAAAATCCCAATAAACCTGAGATGACTCTGAAACCTGTATGTCCACTTGTTTGTCTGGAGTACAACCCGAAAGATTCACACATTCTCATTGGCGGCAGCTACAATGGACAAATCGGTGGGTTTTATCACACAATTTTTAGATACACAATAAATCTTAGCCTATTCTAGCTACAGAAGAACATCTGAACTCTTTTAGCTGTGTAATTACATTTGCCTCAGTCTCTCTTGGCATTTTTAGTCCTGAATAAATGATCCTTAATTGAAAAAAGTACCTTTGACCTTTTCTAAATAATGTTTGCTAGATAAGGCGTAGCTCTTTTGTAAAATCTAATGGCTGGACTCATGTACTTTGGATGCAAGGTTGAAATTAGTATGTACTCAATGTTTTGTTTTTGCCTGATTATCAGCATACTGGGACACTCGTAAAGGCAGCCAGCCGGTGGAGATGTCACCCATTGAATTCAGCCATAGAGATCCTGTCTACAAAGCCATCTGGTTACAGTCAAAGACAGGCACGGACATCTTTTCTGCCTCTACAGATGGCCAGGTCTTTGTACAATCACACATAACTCTCATATAAAGAAAGAATCAGGGTTTGAGTTTTATATAGTGTTTAACCTTTAATATTTTACTCACAATATGAACAAAAACAAACTCTGCTCTTATTAAGAACAAACAATTACAAACTGTCTTCGATAAAGTCCTTGTGAAATCAACATTTGCAATCTTTATTTTGCTAGTGCACATTGTTATACTTAAGGTAATCCACTTAAGGTTAATGTTTGGGTTTGTTTTTTTTATCTTCAATCAAAGTCTGACCATTTGCTTTCACATTTGAAAAGGTATTCCTGCTCTGTTGACATCAGTTTGATGGCTTGAGCTTGGTCGCCAGGTTTTCACTACAAATATAGCCAATGCCCAAACAAAACCAGCCCAATTTACATTCAAACTATCCCAAAAACAAGCCCAGTTCTTAAATCCCACATGGAAAAGGATATATTTTACATGACTGAATGCATTATACAGGCTCTTTCTCTATTCTTGAGGAGGAGGGTGAAGAGAAGGGGCGAGATGTTAAAGATGGAGTTGGAGAGGATGATATTTGATTTGGATAGCGAAGGGACTTTAACCTGCGGAATATAGAAATTGTCTGGAGACACAGATCAAAAGTATCACAATTTCACTGGCAACAGTGGCTATGTTTACATAGACATCAGTAATCAAATTGTTTGCCTTAATTTGAATAAGACAATAATATGATTAAGGTGTTTTGAGTTACTTTTTGAATGCTCCGTTCATGATCCCATTGTACATGTTATAACATGTAATTGCGTCACCGCGCTATCTACATTTCCTCTGGAGTTTTGTGTAATTTCAGGTGTTTCATTTTTAATTTGTCAACTCTAACTGCAGTTTGGCACTTTCACTTTCTTTTGGGGACATTTCATCCATGACCCCGTGACAAACGAAATATTGAATGCGAGTATGAACTCCTGGAGAAGTGTTATATTAATGGTGTTTCATACCGCACGCCGAATGAGAAAAAAAACGAGCAACAATAAGAGCAACACTGTAGTGTCAAACAGCCATGTGTACAGACTATCTGTCACAAAATGCTGTGAAAATCTTACACAAGTCCTCATTTATAGTGTGTATATAAACATAATTATTTTTATAATGATATAAATTGTGGTTGTGTGTACATGAAGTTACTAATAACAAAGATAGCAGGGCATTCAATTACTGTTTATTTCTTTGTTTTTTAACTTTGTAAACTATAAAATCAGGGGTCTCCTCACGGTTTGTGTCTCATTTTCTGAGCCAACTGACAGCAGCTGTCCGCCCCCCTCCTTCTCCCCTGCTCTGCTGGCCACGCCCACTCCCGCCCTTTGCTCACAGAGCTCCACACCCATTATGATGTATTTTTTGAAAACATTCTGAGGTAGACTTGAACCGAAAGACGGGGTTTCATGGCCTTTTAAGAGTGGATGGTTTGAGTGGCTTAAAAAATCTCCAAGATATCCAAGAGTGGAAGAATTGCAGAAGTTAGTTGGGTCTTCAATAAAATTACAATCTAATGCCAGCTACATCACCACAAACAGTTTGTTAGGGTTAAAAGACAAAACAAAAATTATTCTCACCTGAAGTCAATTATATTTAGATTTTTTTTTTTTTTGGAGCAAAAGATCAGACAATTTAACAAAATCCTATTTTAACAGTAAAATTGTTGATTAAATCACTGTAATGGGGGCAACACTTCAGTGGTTAGCACTGTCACCTCACAGCAAGACGGTTGCGGGTTTGAGTCCTGGCTGGATCAGTTGGCGTTTCTGTGTGGAGTTGGTTTGGCGTGGGTTTCCTCCGGGTGCTCCGATTTCCCCCACAGTCCAAAGACATGTGTTATAGGTGAATTGAATAAACTAAACTGGCCTTAGTGTATGGGTGTTTTCCAGTCTTGGGTTGCAGCTGGAAGAACATCTGCTGTCTAAAACATATGCTGGATAAGTTGACGATATATTCCACTGTAGTGACCCCTGATGAATAAAGGGACTAAGCTGAAGGAATATGAATGATGAATCACTGTAATGACATTAAAATTGCGCAGTTATGTTCACAGATGATCTTTATGTATGGTATTTACTGGTAATTTTCTGGCAAAGTCTGTAAGTGTGAAAGGGGTTATTGAAGACAACGACTGTAACACATACTAATACAGTCATCACATATTAAACGTGCTCATGCATCTGACTCCAGGTCCTATGGTGGGACATTCGCAAGATGAGTGAGCCCACCGAGAGACTCGTGATGGACCCCACTAAGAAGGGCAACATTGATAATTCACTTGGTGCAATCTCACTGGAGTTTGAGACTACTATGGTAAGATTAAGATTTATTGTTTGGCCCATTCAAAGAAGAAAGAGATGATGAGAAATTTACCATGATTTTTTCTTTTTTGTACAAGCCCACTAAGTTCATGGTGGGCACAGAGCAGGGTCTTGTGGTTTCGTGCAATCGGAAAGCCAAAACACCAGCTGAGAAGATTGTATGTACATACAGCGGACATCATGGACCCGTTTATGCCCTGCAGAGGAACCCTTTTTTTCCTAAGAACTTCCTGACTGTGGGTGACTGGACAGCACGCATCTGGTCAGAGGACATCAAAGAGTCCTCCATCATGTGGACTAAGTAATTTTTTGTTCAGTTTTTAGAAAATCATAAAACAAATCTACCAATCAAACAAACAATCAATGAATCAATCAACAAAAAAATTGTTCTTTTAAACTTTTTATGAAAAAATTCCTGAAAAAAAAAATAGATTATACAAAAATATTAAACATCAGTTATTTTTAGCATTGACCAATTATAAATGTTTTCTAAGTACAAAAACTGAATATTAGAGTGATTTCTGAAGGATTTAGCACATAAATAAATTGCACATTGAAAATGTTACGAAAATAATTCTAATAATAAGATAAAAAAATGTAATGTCAATAGAGACTAAACTGTTTAATACTAGACATATGTATAACAGATACTATTAGAATGTATTTATTGCGTATAGTTTGTACAGTTACTTATCATTTGAATTTTAATTTGTTTAAAAATTATTATATATTATTATATATAATATATAAAAATTATATAAATATATAAATTATTATTATATAATGTTATTATTATTATTTTTATTATTATTATTATTATCATTGATAATATTATTATTGTCATTATCGGTATTATTATTATTATTATGATTATTATCGTTATTATTATTATTATTAATAATAATAATAATAATAATAATAATATCATTATCGTTATTATCATCGTTATTATTATTATTATTATTATTATTATTATTATTATTATTATCGTTATTATTACTATTACTATTATTATTATTATTATTATTATTATTATTATTATTATTATTATTATTATTATTATTATTATTAAATTGACCCCAGCTTCAGATGTTTGTTGTGCTTTTTCTAATCAATTTCTACAGATATCACATTGCCCATCTGTTAGATGGCTGTTGGAGTCCAGTCAGACCCTCAGTTTTCTTTACAGTAAAGATGGACGGCACCTTGGATGTGTGGGACATCTTGTTTAAACAGAACGACCCCACTCTTTGCCTCAAAGTATGTGCTCTCTGTCTCCTCATCAAACTCATATCACTGTCCAACATCTCAGCAATATCTGCTTGAAGAAATGTTCACTACATTTGTATGTTTGTTTGTTTTTTATTGACAGGTTTGTGATGAAGCTCTGTACAGCATCAAGGTTCAAGATAACGGCCGTTTCCTGGCTTGTGGCTCTCAGCTGGGAACCACCACACTTTTGGAGATTTCATCAGGCCTGTGTTCATTGCAGAAGAACGAGAAAGCCCTGGTGTCAGAGGTGATATACAGTATATTTACGCAACAAAGCACTGTCTAGCCACTTTATTAGGTACAACAAGAAGTCTTCTTCAGAACTGCAGCTCAATAGATACTTCCCTTTTATTTATGTATGCATGCTACTTTAACATTATACATTTTTTTATAAAGGGCAATCTAAAAAGCAAGTCTGGCCAAAATCTAATCAAATCTAATGTTTTGACAGAGTAGTTCAATTGATGCCTCATTATAGAAAAAAATTAAGAGAACACTTATAATTAATTCTCTGGATGAACCATTATGAGTAAAATGTTTATTTGTGTTTTGTTTTCATTTAATAAAGTACCGATAATATAAAATATTCAATTTTTATCAGACCTTAAATTTTTGGGGGAAGTATATTTGAACACAAAATATCTGTGTATGCACAAAATAAATGAAAAAAATATATAATAATTTTGTTCTATATTTATTTTGGAATATTTAATTTGTCATAAAATAAATAATAAAATAAATAATAATAAATGATAATATTACTATTTTTCATATCGACACATTATTAATTCATTCATCAGGGGCTACAGTGGAATGTACTGCCAACTTATCCATCTTATTTCACCCATACACACTTATTCACACACACACACACACACTACCGCCAATTTAACTTAATCAGTTTACCTATAGCGCATGTCTTTGGACTTGTGGGGGAAACCTACGCGAACACAGAGAGAACATGCAAACTCCACTCTGAAATGCCAACTGACCCAGCCGGCGACCTTCTTGCCGTGAGGTCACAGACACCTTATTCATTCATTCATTTTCATTCATTTTTTTGTTGGCTTTGTCCCTTTATTAATCCGGGGTCGCCACATCGAAATGAACAGCCAACTTATCCAGCACATTTTTTACGCAGCGGATGCCCTTTCAACAGCAACCCATCTTTGGGAAACATCCACACACTCACACACTAACACACACACACACACACACATTCACACACACTCATACACTACGAACAATTTAGCCTACCCAACTAACCTGTACCGCATGTCTTTGGACTGTGTGGGAAACCGGAGCACCCGGAAAAAACCCACGTGAACACAGGGAGGACATGCAAACTCCACAAAGAAATGCCAACTGAGCCGAGGTTTGAACCAGTGACCCAGGGACCTTCTTGCTGTGAGGCGACAGCACTACCTAGCCGACACCTTATCAATGGTTTATAAATATTATAAAACAAATAAACTTTTTACTCAAAACACATACCAATTCGAGAGTTCACACTTAGATAATGCTTGACTATTTTAGCATGTTTGGCATGCTGTCTTGGGAGAGAACCCTGAGCTCGGAGATGGATGAGCCCAAGGCTTCCGCCTGGTCAATAAGCATTAGGAGGGATACGAGATTAGGTGGTTCTCGAATACTTCCCAAGAATAGACCGCTAACTGTGCTAGTTGGTACGTAATAGGTGCTTGTGACTTTAATTTTGGTGCATGTTTTTTTGACTGTGAGAGGAAACCGGAGTACCCGGGAAAAACCCTTGCAAACACACGGAGAACACGCAAACTCCGCACAATGAGTGTTGGCTGGCTCAGTTAGCGTTTGAACCAGTGATCTCCTTGCTGTGGGGCTACAGTGCTAGCCACTGAGCCACCGTGTCGCCCGAACTTAGAATTGAGGAGGAGGGAGAAGGGATGGATGGGGGTGGGTTTCCAAAACGAAGATGAAGAACGAAGTTTATGCTGGATGTTTATATTAAATTTGGAATGATCCGATTGGCTAGTTAGTGATTAGTGATAGGGATCAGCTGTAGTCAATCCTACAGCCTCACATGCTCATTGAAATTAGTTTGTGAAACTTTACTTGATGGAAAATCCATAGAATTGTTAATAACTCTAAAGGTGTTTCATCCTGATATTTTTTTCCCCAAAAATTTGTCACTTATTTACTTTTGTACTTATTCATTCATTCATTCATTCATTCATTCATTCATTCATTCATTCATTTATTAATTGAAACTTTTTTTTACAATTAAAACAAATATTCAAAGAGATACACTAATAAAGACAGATGTATAAATGGTTTTGTTTGTACTATCCATCTGTCATCTGTCTTCTCATCAAACATCGAACCTATAAGGTTAATTTCCCCCTTGTTTTTTTGTAGATGTTTGAACGGGAGACGAAGCGGGAGAAAATTCTAGAGGCTCGCCACAGAGAGATGCGTCTGAAGGAACGCAGCCGCTCAGAACAGAGCAGAGAGGACGAAATGAAGGAGACGGATGGCGAGGAGAGCGTTGAGGAGCTGGTGGCCCGTGCAGAGAAAGAGTTCTTTCACATCATAGAAAATGAGAGGATGAAAGAGAGGAATGAGGAGAAGGACAAAGATCAGGTTCACAATCTTCTGCTCAGACTGTTCACGTTTATTCTGATGTTCTGAACGTCAGATCTGATTCTGAATTCTGGTTCCAGAACCGATTCCTCACTGTTGTAGTGATTCTTTTCAATGTTTTCTTCTCAATACCTTGCAAGTAGTAAATACACAAACAAATGAAGGTCAGTCAATTAGAGTTGAACTCACAATGACTAGCCCTTCAGTGAATTGTATTTTCTTTTTTAAATATTTCCCAAATTATGTTTAACAGACCAACACAATTTTCACAGTATTTACTATAATATTTTTTCTTCTACAGAAAGTTTGTTTTATTTCGGCTAGAATAAAAACAGTTTTAAATTTTTTAAACATAATTTTAAGGTCAATATTATTCGCCCCCCTAAGCAATAGAGCTTTTCGATTGTCTACAAAACAAACCACTGTTATACAATAATTTGCCTAAGTACCCTAGCTTGCCATCACTTTAAGCTGAATAATAGTATTGTGAAAAAATATCTAGTGAAATATGATGTACTGTCATCATGGCAAAGATAAAATAAATCAGTTATTAGAAATGAGTTATTAAAACTATTATGTTTAAGAATGTGTTGAAAAAAAATTCTTCTTTCCGTTAAACAGAAATTGGGGTAAAACTTTACAGGGGGGCTAATAATTCAGGAGGGCTAATAATTCTGACTAATATCAACGATATGTAATTTATTGCATAGAGCAGGGATGTCAAACGTAAGGCCCGCGAGCCGGATCACGCCCACAATTGGGTTTACTGTGGCTCACGAGATGATTCTGTAAAGTTTAAAAATTAGCTGCAATTTTTGCTGTTCCAATTGTGTCCACTGGATGAAACTATTAATTTCATCCAATCCAGAATCCTGAATCAGCGTCAGTTTGACAGCCTTCTCAGAGAGAAAGACCACATCAATACCCTGTCATACTACACTGAGGTGATCTCATGGGGAAACGTAACTATTTTATGTTTTGTCAGTTTAGTGGCTAATTGTACCATTTTTAAACAAGCCAACCACACCCCTAAACCCATTTGTCAAATTCCCCCCAAACCACCTACCCCCACAAGTTGATTTTAAGTTACATATAGCTTGATTTTACTTGATCTGCCCCACTTGTGAACTGATTTTACTCCATGTGGCCTCTGAGCTAAAATGAGTTTGACACCCCAGGCATAGATGGAAAAGGTTGTGTTTAAAATAGACAGCAGTAGAATAAAATCTACCTATAAACAGCAAATTGTACACTGAAATAACTATAGTATAGGGCACAAAATAAGATCATGCATTAGTTTTATTAAATGGAACATAAAAGCCCTTCACTTAATGCATCTTTAATGTTCTTATGTATTCAGAGTGAAGCTTAAAACCTTTTGTTTCACTTCGGAAGTTTATTTGTTATTCTGTTATTTTACATTGATATACAACAAATCACCATTTATGACATCAATCACCGCATACTTATCACATCTTCCAACCAATCAAACACTTTCTAATATCTGTCATGCCCCGCCTCCTTTAAAATGTTTCTCGTTTGCTTTTCAGTTGATGCGTTTGAGCATATGCACTTTTAAAGTTATAAAAACTAAATGTTATTGGCTGTTGTGTTAAAGGGGGAGAAGCTACTCTATGTCCCACCCTGTCTTTGGGTTTCAGTTGAAATGACATCACACAACGAACAACAATGCAAATTTCAAAGCATTTCGCAGGACCTTGAAGCTGCAGTCACACTGGGCTTTTCCTCCCATAGACTTCCATTTATACGCACGCAAATGCGTCAGACCGGAAACGCGGGGTCATGCGTCAAGTGTCCCAGGTTGCTGCGGTGCAAAGTTCAGGCTTGGTGAACTCTGACCTGCGAAATCGCATCACTAGACTGCGTGAGACCAATCGAGGATCTAAACATGACCTCCCTGGAAAGAAATTTAAAATATGGAGCAATCGCTCGCTTTTTTAAATGTCTAATAAGCTTGTTCAATCCTGCCCCTTTTCGCAGCGCCGCACGACAGAATATCACATGCTCAAACATAATGTGACCGCAGCTTTAAGCAAGAGAGAGTCGATATCAATATTTGTTGGCGCCAGTCACCTCATACTTCAGTTTCTCATCACATCTTCCAACCAATCAAATGCTTTCTATTATCTGACATGCTCCACCCCCTTCAAAACACTTCTCATTTGCTTTTTAATTTGATGTGCTTTAGCTCAAGCACTCTTACTGGCAGAGCAATGATAAAAACAAAACGCTACTGGCTGTTTTTAAGGGGGAGGAGCTACTCTATGTCCCTTCCTGCTTTTGAGTTTTAGTTTATATAACATCACACATTGAACAAAAATGCACATTTCAAATCATTTCGCAGGACCTTTAGGCAAGAGAAAGTCAATATCAATATTTGTTGATGCCAGTCAACTCATACTCCAACCAATCAAATGCTTTCTAAGACCTGACATGCCCCGCCTCCTTCAAAATGCTTCTCATTTGCTTTTCAGTTGATGCCCTTGAGCTGAAGCACTTTCATAGTCATAAAAGATTAAAGGTTTTGGCTGATTTGTTTAAAAGGGGGAGGAGCGACTCTATATCCCACCCTGTCCTCATAGTTCAGTTCAAATGACATCACACAACGAACAAAAATACACATTTCAAAGCATTTCACAGGAGCAAGAGAGAGTCGAATCAATGCTCGATTCAATACAGTCATTTAAACCAGGAGTTCTCAAACTGTTTAGCCTGTGACCCCCAAAATAACAATGCCAGTGACTCGGCGACCCCCATTATCCTCTCAATCGGTTATAAATATATAAACCTTGCACACATAATAATAGGCCCAAGTCTATTCATTGTTTATTTTTGGAGAACGCCACTCGGAGACCATCCTCCATGTTCAGTTGTGGTCTGTATTTATTTTAATGTATGTGAGTGCCGTAAAGGTATCAGAAAGTTTAACCTGGTTCCATAAAATCAATGTCTGACGCTATTGATGTGTCTTTAATATAACGTAATCCCCCCTGGGGTCACAAAGACAAAACATTTTGAAAGGCTGATGGCTTTTGAGTGTTTATTATTAACATGTTAACAATGTTACTATTACTACTGTTTTGTTCTCCAGTAGGTTATGCAGGGCCGAACCCGGGCCGAACCCGGCCCCCGAGGCGGTTTGTTCAGGCCCTCCAAATAGTGTGACCAAGACATCAAAAATAAATTTAGTTTAGTCAAAAAACGGCCGTCATAGTTATGAAGTGACGTGCGTCCATTCAGTATAGCGCAAGCTGCAGAGGCAGAGCCTGAGTCACCATAAGCGAGTGATGTGGACAGCCGAAAACATTTGGATATGTTTTGTAGATAATGCCTTTTGTACAATGCACTGTAATCGTTAATAAGGATGCAACGATTAGCTGATTTCAGTATTAACTGCGCTTTAATTCGTCACAGTTAAAGAATCGTAAAGGCTTCTCTAAGCCGCATTTCTATTGCACGGAAAAGTTATGACAAGTTGCCATCTGTTTGCTGGTTTAAATTTAAGTATGTACACCGGGGCTAATACACACGGACACTGGATTAACTATAGCAGCGGCCGTTGCCATATCACGTCTTTTCCGCTTGCAAGTTTGTCATTTCTAATGTAAGACAATATGCCAATATGCGCGCACAAGTGGAGCAAGGCGTCTTTCTGGGCGCATGCAGTAGAAAACATCTCACAGTGAAAGTTGTGCGTGCCTTTCAGTTGAATGTAAACAAAAGATATGTTCGACGAATTATTATTTAAGTGATTATGTATGTATGAACTCATATGGCAACAACAGTTCATCTAAATAGCTACTTACCTGATATAAAGCTTAAATTTACATAGCTTTACATTAGACGTGATAACCCTGAAACCAGGATTATTCTTCAGACTATATAATCTTAAAACCAAAATCTATAATTGTTACATCTCTAATTGTTATGCAGTTCACAACATAACATATAAATGTGTCTGAATGTAGTAGAAGCATACTTTAGAAATGCCCTGGCTTTTGGTGTGCGAAATACAACATTTGAATGTTTGTAAAAAAAAAAGAAGTAAATTGGACAATGCAGTGATATTATCTTGTTTTAAAATACAATATATTAACATTTTAATGTAGAAAAACCCAATGTGGATGTCTTTATGAGCACAAATACAGCATATGGGCTCTTATATGCAGTTGAGTTATCACTCATATAGCAAGTCATATCTCTCCGGTCCTTGACTTGGGATGGATTTCATGAACCGGCCCCTATGACAAACTAATTGAATAGCCCTGTAGTTTATGGATAAATTATGATCATTTTTATAGTTTATTAAAATGTTGAAATGTTGATCGCCAAGAAAACCCCCCGCCCCTCCCCAGTGTCTCACGACCCCCCCCAAGGTTTCCCGACTTCCACTTTGAGAACCACTGCTTTAAACTGAAAAAGCCTTTAATGCAATTGATTCCAAACAACGACTCTAAATCAAAGAATCAATTCTTTGTGAAATCGACTATCAGTCTTAAATCTGACATCTAAAATCTTTAACCCACTTCACTTCTGTGGATTTTGGTGTGTGTGTGTGATCATGTGTGTGCGTCAAAACAGCTTGTCAAATAAAACTGGCCTCCTTTGTGAAGCTTAAACAAATCGTATCCTATGTTTGGACTGTTGCTTCAATAAGATAAGCTCTATATATAACCCTGATCGCTGTGGCCGACGCTCTCTATTGTGAAAGACAAAGCAGGAAAAATCAATAAAGTCTACTTTGTCTGTACCCAGAATGCTTTATGCTCATCTGTGATTGGTTGAGGAGGCATCGGAGCATCACAAGTGTATTTCTGCTGGGCCGTTTACTCAAAGGCTCGTCTGATTTATGGTTTTGCCCTTTTCAGTGACTTTAGTTATTTGATAATAAAGAGGGGGTTATAATTAGGTTTGTCTTATTGTGTCTCGCATGACTTGTGCATAAATCTGGAAGTGTATTGTTTGGGCTCAGTTTCGGACTGGTCTCATTTTTGATTCTTATTTTTTTGCAGGAGAAAGGAGTGTGTGAGGAGAAAGATTTCCAGGAGGAGCACGAAACCAATGGCGTTTCTTCATTTGTAAGGACAGAAATCTCTCTGTAGATTGAGCTGCTCTCAAAGTCTGATCATGTAGCTTTCACAAACTATTTTTTACTTCCATTATGTGATGTATTTCTGAATGAAACAACAAACAATCAAATTATCACAGCACAGGATTTATCATGAGCATGTACAGTACGTTCCACTACATGTACTGTAAGTTGCACATTAAGGCCGGGAAAAGTATTTAGAAAAATTAAGTATAGTAAGTACACATTTAGTCAGAATTGAGCAATAGATATAAGGCATTTTTAAATATTTCCCAATTGCTCTCTAATGGAGAGATGATTTTTTCAACACTTGCTCATTCATCAGGGGTCGCCACAGTGAAATGAACCGCCAATTACACTGGCATACATTTTATGTGGAGGATGCCCGTCCAGCTGCAACCCAACACTATACACTGTCTCATTAACTCATACACTACGGACATTCATTCATTCATTCATTTATTTATTCATTCATTCATTTTCTTGTTGGCTTATTCTCTTTATTAATCTGGGGTTGCCACAGCGAAATGAACCGCCAACTTCATTCATTCATTTTCTTGTCGGCTTAGTCCCTTTATAAATCGGAAACCGGAGCACCCGGAGGCAACCCACGCGAAGGCAGGGAGAACATGCAAACTCCACACAGAAACGCCAACTGAGCCGAGGTTCGAACCAGTGACCCAGCGACCTTCTTGCTGTAAGGCGACAGCACTACCTACTGCGCCACTGCCTCGCCCGAACCGCCAACTTATCCAGCATATGTTTTACCCAGCGGATGCCCTTCCGGCTGCAACCCAACACTGGGAACCACCCATACACTCTTGCACACACTCACATACACTACGGCGAATTAAGCTAATTTAATTAATGTATAGCGCATGTCTTTAGACTGTGGGGGAAAATGGGAGCACCTGGAGGAAACCAACGCAAACACAGGGAGAACATGCAAACTCCACACAGAAATGCCAACTGACCCAACTGGGGCTTGAACCAGTGACCTTCTTGCTATGAGGAGATTGTGCTACCCACTGCGCCACCATGCTGCCCTGCGGACTATTTAGTTTATTCAATTCATCTATAGCGCATGTCTTTGGGCTGTGGGGGGAAACCAGAGCACCCAGAGGAAACCTATGCAAACAAGGGGAGAACATGCAAACTCCACACAGAAATGCTAACTGACCCAGCTGAGACCCAGCGACCATCTTGCTGTGAGGCGACTGTGCTAACCCCATTTTTTGTCTTTGCCATGATGACAGTACATACTAGTTATTTTGTAAGTTTTCAGCTTAAAGTGCAGTTTAAAGGCTTAACTAGAATAATTAGGTTGACTAGGAAAGCTCGGGTAATTAGGCAAGGGACTGGACAACCGTTGTTTGTTTTGTAACCACAATCACGAAAAGAAAAATAAACATAATGGGCTAATAATATTAACCTTAATATAGTGTTTGCATACTTACTGCACTTTGAATTTGTAGAGCAGAACATATAATTATATTTGCATCTAACCTATAACATGTTTGACTGGCTGGTGGAAAATCTTTAAATCCACTGCACTTTGCATTTATGCTATACATTTGAATAGACTTTACCCGAAATGTGCTTTAGTAAAGTAAATTGTGAAAATTTGACTAGTGTTTATTTGTTTTCTTATATGTTGTCATATAGTAGATAAAAAAGTAGAGTCGTGTTTATGATTTGCCAATGTCCAACTAAAATCAACCTAAAATCAACCAAATATCAATGTCTAATCATGTTACACCTTGACGTTGTGTGGATGTTACCACTGTGACGTCTGTCAGACGTTGGATTTTGGTCACTTTCCGACACAACCTAAAATCAACCAAATATCTATGGAGTCAATCTACAGTAGGGCCATACATACATGCAATATAAAGGAAAGCTTTCCAAACAAAAAATAAAAAATAAAGTATTGAGCAAAAAATAAAATAAATAAATGCAAACCTCAAAAAAATCTAAATTCAAGGAATGCAAGGGGAAAATTAAGTTTTGAAAAAAAAAATTGCAAAAAAACAACAACACTGCAAGTAAAAATCAAGCAGTGCNAAAAAAAAAAAAAAAAAAAAAAAAAATATTTATATATATATATATATATATATATATATATATATATTTGCTATAAAAAATAAATATATATATATATATAAAGGTTTTGTAAAGGCAATGCTATACTTTTTTTGCAAATATATATATATATATATATATATAAATATATATATATATATATATATATATATATATATATATATATATATATATATATATATATATATATATATATATATATATATATATATATAAAATATATATATATATATATATATATATATATATATATATATATATATATATATATATATT